CGTCGGTCGCGCAAGTCTAAGCGACCGCGCTGCGCGCGAGGTTGCGGGCGCCAGCGCGGCCGCAGCGGTGCGCCAGCCAGCGCCAAACAGCCATCGCAATTGCCCCCGAATGGGTTTTGCAAACCAAGTTGCGGGCGGGCGGGCGGGGCGACTGCGCGACCGTAGGGGGGGGGGGGCCTCGCGGGAGAAAATCAAATTCACTTCTTCTTCTTCTTCTGATGGAAAGTCAAACTCTACCCCCCCCCCCCCCGCCCCGCCTCCGGATTTAGAGGCGCCCCTTCGCGCATTGCAGTCTACGCGTGATTCTGCCCCTTTCGTCCAGCCTAGATATGAACTCGTGCCGCCCCAGGCGGGCCGGCCCCGCCGCCCCCCCTCATCCTCTGGGACAAATCAAAAAGACGCGGGGTCACTCGTTCATCAATTATCCCAGTGCGACCCTGCCAAAGAGTTGGAGCATCTAGGAAAGCAACATCTACATCTACACCGACAGCTACATTAACATCTACACCTGCATCTACATCTACATCAACATCAACAGCGAGACTCACATCTACATCTACATCTACACCTACATCTACATATACATCTACACCTACATCTACATCTACATCTACACTTTCGCATTGGTTTCGTTTTGCTGTGCATTACCTTGCCTTTGATGTTGCGTTTCCTTTCGCTGTTGCTTTTGATTTGATGTTGTGATTGCTTATGCTTGATGTTGTTTTGCTGGGCTATGCTATGATATACTGTGCTGCGCTGCGCTATGCTACGCTATGCTATGACGTGCCCTGCTATGCTAAAGCTCAGCGGAGCAAAGATGAAGGCAAGCTAAGACTAAGATAAACCTGAACTAAGATGAAGCTAAGCTAAGCTAAGATGCAATAAGCTAAGCTAAGATGAGATAGGCAACGCTAAGCTAAGGGGCGTAGCTGGGGGAACCGCGGGGCGGATACTGGGGGAACCGCCCGGGGCGCGTTCCACTGCCCGGCCAGCCCTTTAAGCACACCGAGTAAGAACCATTCTAGGCGGAGCCTAGGTAGGGAAAAATCAGTAGTTGCCAAAAACACCTTGCAGGCAATGGGGCGAAGTGCGCGCGCGCTGTCGCGCGCGCGTGCCGAAACCCTTCGGAATTTTCGGAACCTTAGGTTCCGCAAGGATTAAGAATGGAGCGCCCTGACAACGTGTGTACACATATAGTTTCGCAGCATGTGTTCAAAAACGTTTGCGCTGGCGCTTGTATAAACTCTCAGGAAAACCATGCGTCGTTTGAGCCATGTTCATAACATGCAACCAAACGGGCCTCTCGCGCGCGCATGTGTGCGTGCATGCCGGAATCGTTCGACAGCCCTTGCGGGTGCGCTGTCGCAATAATCATTTGCAAACAGCGGGGCGAAATGCACGCGCGCGCGTCGTCGCGCGGGCATGCCGGCATCCCTCAAGAACATCAGGCGTCGCAAAGATTTCAAACTCGAGTGGCCCGGAAGAAAAATAGAAAAAGCGTTGCGCGTTGAAACATCAGTTTTCAAACGGAAAAACTGCGCTCGCACTTTGTGAATTCTTGAGGAAGATGTAGCTTTTCAGCTTTTTCATCCAATTCTGCCAGACGGGCGCCCCGCGCCGCATCTCGAAATCATTCGAACGCCCTTGCGCACATGCTGGGGGCACGATGCTCGTCAAATAATACCACGCGGGCCATGCTCGCGCGTCGGCCGCGCGCGCGCATGTCGAATTCCTTTCCAAACCTTCATCACCGACGCGAGGACGCTGTCATCAGCGTCGCCGTGGCCAGCATCGGCGCCGTCACTGGCCGTGCCGTCATCGTTGTCATCATCGCCACCAGCATCGCTACCATCAACATCATCGTCATCATCATCACCATCATCATCGTATCTACGTTTGTCGAAGTTACCATGATACCGCGTCCGCCCAAGTCGCCGACTCGCACTGATATTCCCGTTGGGGGTGCCTAGCGGTCAACGCCGCCGCGTCGATCGCGCCAAACTAGCTGGCCGCTGCGCGCGCGAGCATGCGCGGGCTTGCGCGGCCGCAGGGATGCACCAGCCAACACCAAGCACTCATCACAATCGTCGCCGCATGGGTCTTGCAAACAAGATGCGGGCGGGTGGGTGGAATGATTGCGCGAGCAGTGAAGTTGACAACTCACTGCGGGCAGAAACTGATTGCACTACATAGGCTGTACAACATGTAGTGCCAGGAACATGCTGTGTTGGGCCCACGCTGGCTAGCATGTTCTTTCGGATTTTGAAACGGTCCGAGCGTTTACTAAGTTTCGGCTTCCCGACGGCCCAAGACAGTACGGATGGCGACGTGCCCTGACGGCGCACATGAACAGCACGGCCAAGCACGGATGACGTAATGCTGCGGCTGCGGCGTGCTCCGACGGCCCCAGGGGCAACCAAGATGACCCCAACCAAGAGCGCCCAGGAGGCGTCAGAGATGGCCCCCTAACGGCCCGGGAGGCCCTCAAAATGACCACAAGAGGCCCTCAACGCGGCCCAGGAGACCTCCAATACGCCCAAGATGACCTCGAAGGCGGCCCTGCGGCATCCCAAGAAAGCACCCAACTTGGCTCACGGAGGCCACCAGGACGGTGTCAGACTACGTCAGACGAGCCAGGAACGCCCTGAAACGGCCAAAGAGCACCACGAGGAACTTCCAGAGGCCCATAAAAGTCCCAAGGAAGGCCTCAATAAGTCTCCCACATGCCCCACCTGGGAAACTCCCAGGAGGCTCAATGAGTGCATAAAAAAAACTTCCCAGGGCCCTCCTCCTCTTCCTCCTCTTCCTCCTCTTCCTCCTCTTCCTCCTTCGTCTTCGTGTCCCTCCCTCTTCTCCTCTTAGCAGTTCTCCCCTACGTGTTCCACGAATGGTATCCACAACGGCTCGGGGAACACATCGTCCGATAGCTTGGCCGAGCTCTGGCCGCAACGTTCGGCCACATAGGCGCTTCAAAAAGGCAGGGGGCGGATGTGATTCGCCGCAGGCGTCTTCGATCAGACGCTCTGCCTCGATCCATCGAGAAGGTTGCATGGCGTGCCCTGCTCCGAGTCGCCACTGGCCCAGAAAGAACTTCCCAGAGGGCCCTCAGCGTGCGGCAAGTACCACCCCCCCAGACCTGATTCGACCCAACACGGCCTTCGAGATGCTTCGAAATCCGCCCATAACCTCCGAGATGGCCCCAAGATCCCGCGAAGATGCTCCGACATGGCTTCTAAGACTGCCAAGATGAGCCATGATGGCAACCAAGGCGGGCCAACATGACGCCAACACGGCCGCAGAGGCTCACAAGCCACCCTCAGAGGACCCCCACGAGGCCACCAATCGGCAAACATATGTCATGCGCTTCGGACACGCGTAATGGTTGCACGATCGTCTGTTCGGGCATCAGGCCGCCGACAACTGGCGAATATACCCCAAGTTCACCACTGGAATTGCCACAAGGGCCCTAAAAGAATCCCTAGACGGCCCAGGAAGGGCCCAATACAGCCCAAGGATATCCCAACAAAGCTTCCAGCGGCCCATGACGGCCCAAAAAGAACTCCAAGACGGCCCCACGAGACACCCAACACGGCCTCGAAGGGCTCCTGCCAGTCCGGGAATTCCCCAAGATGGCTGCAGAAAGCCCAGGATGCCTACAATAACGCCCCGCAAGGTTCCCGAATATCCCAAAGACAGCTCTTCACTCTCCCACCGTTGTCCCGAAAACACCTCTGGGAGTGAGAACTCAATCACCAGTCGAGCTAGAGTCATATTGAGAGTCGGCAACAGGTGGTGTGCGTGCCACCAGTGCAGGGGGTGGTGTCCGAAGCGGGAAGCGCTCCATACCCACCGCCTGGGGGATCAATATTCGAGAACTTCGGTAGGCGATGGATATGAAGCATTCTGGCTCCAGCGGTTCAAAACACATCCATATTCGCCGCCCCACTGGATCCCAAGACATCGTTCCCCCATGCGATCGATATCAAAAAATCCCCGCCTTGCATGGTGGTGATTCGTCGCAGACTTCGTCGATCAGACTACAACGATGCGATCAGATGAAGCTACGCAATGCTCGCGGGGAGACCCTGGCCCAGCCGATCCAGGCAAATCTGGCTGCGCCTGTGCGAAATCTGGCTTTGCCGGGCTCCAGCTGAGTGCACTTCGAACCCTGGCAGTATCAGACCCCTCCTACTCTTGCTCCTCCTCGACGCCCTTCGTTTTTATTCAAAGGCGAAACGCGCCCTCCGACAAGCCCCCCACGTTGCAGTGAAAATCGGGAGGCACAGCCAGAACGAGGATGAATAAGGACGGGCAGGAGGCGGAGGAGAGAGGGTCTGGGAACAAAAAGCCAGGGCGTGGAGCGCACATCCCCGATGGCTCTGCAAGCCTTCTACTTCTCCCCCTCCTCCCCCTCCCCTTCTTTCTGCTCCTCTTTATCCTGCTCTACTTCGACGTGGCATGGCTGGGCAAGACAAGCAGTGTAGTTCGCAATGGGCATTCGGGGGCACGCGAAGCAAACGTTTCGAAACACATCCACACTGTGGCCAAAGAGCTTCATCCATATCAAGCGTGCTCCTGACGGTCATTGCTTTGAGCGCTCGGCCAGGGGATACTAAACGCCCGCAAGAACCCCTGACCCTTGAAAAGGTGGGCTCCTCGGACACTCGGACAAGCCAGCGATGCCAAAGTCGAAACCCGCCTGCGCAGATCGAAACTGGCACAGCCTCGAGGCCCCACGCTGGCTCGCTTTCGAAACGTGCTTAGCGCTGTTCGAACCACTCTCGGCGGCGCGCCCAAGGAGGAAGGCAGAGGGGTCAGGCCTTCTCAGAAGGCGCGGGTGCTTCTCGGAAGCTCCCAGGGCCTCTGAGAAGCTTGTGAAAAGGCCTCCTGAGCCTTCTGAGAAGGCCCGCCCCCTCCGCCTTCCTCCCTGGGCGCGCCGCCGACACCTGGCGAGGCGAAATCGCCTGAATGTCACCATGTCGGCCCCCCCACCCACGGTCCTCGAGAACCCAGCGCCAGCGCGGTTCCCCCGGGGCATCGCCGGCCTTCGGTGGCGCAGCGGGAGAAAGGGGGCCAGGACAGCGACGCAGCGAGGTGAGGCGTCAAGCGGAGGCAGTGACACATGCGGAGGAGAGAGAGGGGGAGATAGAGAGAGAGAGAGAGAGCGAGAGAGAGAGAGAGAGCAAAGCGGAGAACGAAGAATAGAGCAGGCACGGGCGATCAGAGACCTTGCCATAAGACAGCTTGAGACACGTTCTTCGTCGAGAAGTGGAGGTCCTGAGGTGCCCCAAGTAACTATTCTGGGGGTCCCTGGGGCTTTCGGGGGGTAATCAGAGCAAAATGCGCGGTGTACCTACTGGCAGGACGATTTCCGCTTTGACGCGCCAACTGTCCAGGGAGAAGGCAGAAGAAGGCGCGAGCCCAAGGAAAGGCGCAAAAAGGGAAACCACTTTCAACCGATGCTGATGCCGTGCCATGGTTGTCGCACGCGGGAATCGAGCAATCGCACAATCGCTTTTAATCATCATGTGCCACTGAGCAAACGCGCGCTCGCACCGTTCGCTGTAACGCTGTATCTGCGACGTGATAGGGGACAGGACAACCAACTGTGGGAGAGCAAGGTCGCGTGGACAACATCGGTGTCCAGTCCGAGTCAAAGTGGGAGAAGCGGAATGTCGAAGAGGAAGATGCTCGGACGAGGCGAGAAACCATGAAACACAACACCGACGCGTGGACGCCGACCGCTGCATCATCAACCACTGAATACAACGATGTGTTCGAGGCTGGGTGAAAAACACTTGGTCATACAGTCTACATGTCTGACTCGACTTGTGTCCATCATTTCATACATGTGAACCATCTTGCTATGGGATTCATGCTTGACTGGGGCCATACCTTTGGCTGCGATACAATCTCTGGCTCTGATGTGCCTCGAGGTCTGGATCTTACCCCGACTCTGACGCAGAGCTTGTTTCTCAGCCTCTGGATCAGTGTCGAGCGCGGGCAACTTCCAACTATCTGGGTTCCATCAAGTATGTTCCCGCCCCTCTCTCGATCTCTATTGGCAGCGGCCGCTGCGACAATTCGGGCGACGGCGGCATGGCCACTTGACGCCAGCGACAGGACCCGCTGGTGGCCGAGCGATAGCCGACCCTCTGGTCTAGGGCAAGTCGGCGAGGGCGCCAGGGCCAGGTGGCGACCAAGCCACAGCGACGGCCGACCCCTTGGTCCAAGGACACTGGCGGAAGTGCGAGTCGGCGAAGGGGCCAGTCGGCGGCCGAGCGACGGCGACGGCGCCTCCCCCATGGACAGCCGCAGACAAACAACAAAATGATAACCACCTAAGTGCAACCATAATTATATGGCCAAGGGGGCACCCAGCAACACTCAACGCATAATGAACTGTTCTGAAAATGCCAAGAAGACTAAGTGACTCGTACAATTTGTTTCACACGACAGACCACCACCGTGAAGCGATCCTGGAAGCACTGCCAACTTGGGCAAAATTCATACTTTCGGCAAGAGGTGAAACGCATGGTTGAGTGAGAGCCCAAGTATTAGGCTGCGCCCGATGGAATTCCACTCCGGAGCGAAAGCGGCAGCCAAAGACGAAGGGGGGAGGAGCAGCAGCAGGAGGGGAGGGAGGAGGACTGTGTGTGCATCCCCACATGGCCTAAATACCGATCAAACATTATAATATAATTCATACCTGACATCGCACAGCGGCAGGCGCAAGGTCAGCACCCAGAACAAATAGCAAGTTGTAGCCCCTGCAGACTCGTTGAAGATAGAAAATGCCCGATATTCTCTCGCCTGGGAGGCGTGAGCCAAAAGGGAGGTGACGAGAGGAGGCGGAACGAACCCAAGGGGCAGACAAGGGCATCATTAAAGAGTCAGCTGGGCGGACTGTGCTGGAATGGGCGCGAGCACACACCAGTATGGTTCATTGGCGACACAACTACATTAATGGGGCACGTCTGCGCCCCGCAACGACGGAAGACCGAGTCCACGCGGCGAGAGGGCAAGCCCCGGGCGACAAGAGCGGCCCGAGGGGTCGGCCAACCGCGGCCGTGGACAAGCCCACACACGCTCGCCGTGCTCAGAATTAGCACTGAAGGCGGGAGCGGGGGCGAAGAGGGAGGACCCCCAGGAGGACGAAGAAGGGCGGCGGGGGGGAGGACGGAAGGTAAGCGAGTCGTTTCTGCAGAGCGTCGTGCAACCTATCGCCCCCTAGGCGGCCCTCCCTGGAACTTCGCCTCCTCTGCCTGCCTCTCCCTCACTCTCCCCGCGCAAGGTGACGAATTCGCCATTGTACGAATCTGACTAAGTGACTTGTAAAATGGAATATCCGTCAACGCTGACCCCGTCACATCAGGATCTTCTGCGCTTGATCTGTATCAGATGTGATGCAATCGATGTGTTGCAATATCTGGGGTGCAATAAATGCGCTGGAATATTTGCGGCGAAAGCTATGGGACGCAATGAATGTTGACGAACTTGAAGTCGCCAGCTCCAACGCTCGAACAAACAGTCCAATCACCCACCCTTCAAGTTCTGGTAATACCCAGGGTGCCGTGAGTGCCATTCTATACCTGGATTGGTTAACAGTTGCCCATCGGCGAAACGACGTCCGAAATTTTCCCAGGCAGATTTATGGCCTGGAGCGTGCGCCAGATGATGATGTCCAGGGCGGGGGGGGGGCGTGACATAATTTCCAGAATAACCTATGGTGTTGTACATGCTTTGAGAGGGCTCTACTGAAATACGTCCAAGCCGTCTGCTTTTGAAATGATTTCGACAAGCGCGTAGGGACGCGCTCGTGTGGCCCGCATGGCACTTTTTTGACAACGGGTTGGAACATACAACTGGTAATCATTTCAGGCGCGAAAGCCTTCAAATGACTGTGACATGCTCGCGCGGACGCCCGCGCGTGTGGTCCACGTGGTCTTTGACGGGCTTGACAAGACACCAACGGTGTCCCTGTGGTGTTAGCAAGTCCACGCCCATTGCCCGCCCATGGGCAAGTCGTGCGCTGGGTGGGGGAGCCGGGGTTTCGCCCGGGGCCCGACCGTGGGCGCCTCGCGGGCGCTTCGTGGTCGTGGACGCCTCGTGCGCTGGGTGGGTCAGCCGAAGGTTCGCCTGGGTGCCCGCCCCTGGGCGCCTCGCAGGCTCGTCGTGCGGCGGGTGGCTCGGCCGAGGCTTCGCCTGGCACCCGCCCGTGGGCGCGGGCGCCTCGTGGCAACCTCGTGGGTCAGTCGAGGATATGCCTAGTACCCGCCCGCGGGCGCGTCTTGGGCACCCCTTCCTTCACCTTCTTATCATCCTCCCCTTCCTTCTTTCTTCTCCCCACTCCCTCATCCATCCATCCAGCCTCCTTGTTCTCCTCCCTCCTTCGCACGGTTCGGCCGTCCACCTCTTTGCTCCCGCACTTCCCTGATCACCTCAACTCGCCTGGACATCGTTTCTGGATGGGCTGGTGGGGATACAGTTTTTTTGGTCGGCGGCTCCGAGGCAGCGGACAGGGAGCGGAAGGCGTCGTCTGGGCCAGCAGGCGAGGCTGATTAACTACAACAAGCCACGCACCTGCAGTAAGAACCCGCAAAGAATGCGAGGTGTGCACATGCACTGAGCAAAATGCTCCGCATTAAGGCGAACGCACCTAGGCGCCAGCCACACAGCTGGTGGGGATACGCGAGGCTTCTAGAATTGGATAGGTCAGCCGAGGTTTCACCTTGTGCTCGCCCGTGGGCGCATCGTTGGCGACTCGTGCGCTGGGTCAGCCGAGGTTTTGCCTGGCACCAGGCCTTGGGCACCAGTGAGCGACTTGTGGGCGCCTCGTGCGCTGGGCGTTCGCATTAGATTTTACCACACAGCTTGCGCCACGTAGCTGAAACGACATACCCTGCACCACACAAAATGCACCACACAACTTTTACCGTACCTTACACCACATAGAGTGCACCGCATACATGAACTTGCTCTGCATACCTTACACCTGCACGACATAGCTTACACCACGTAATGCTTTGTCAAATTGCTTACGCCACATAGCTTGCACCACATCTATTTCTGCACCACCTAGCATATACAACGCGTCCTGCATCATTTACGCAATTACTTATCCATTGGGGTCCGCGCGTCCGCAAATATTTGCTTTAAGGGAACTACCTTGACATGCTTGAAATGCGAATGGTTTTGTATGAATTTACACATACGCGCGCTATCGGCACGTACGTAAGGCCCGCATGTTGTGCGCTTGTTGGCTCAACGCGCGCGCACTGCAACCTATCATGTGTTAGCAAAGACCGGGGAAATCGATACCAATTTGACCGGAATGATTTGACGATGAAGACGGGCCTCGGCATGGGGGTTGAGTTGTTCAGAGTTGTCCTGAGGCTGAAGATGTGCAACAACGTCCATGTGGTGAGCTCTTCGTCGCGCAAGCCACCGGTTGCTGACCACGTGGTGCAACTTACGTCAAGCACGCACCAGGGCAGCGCACGGGCCCACGGGACTCCCACGAAACGCCAACGGTCAGGCACCGACCGGAAGTCCACGCAACGCCAGCCAGCGCAAGGAGCACCAACGAGGCGCCCACGGGCGGGCACCGGGCGAAAATCCCTGGAAATGCCAGCTGGCGCACGCAGCACCCGCAGAGCACCGGCAGGCGGGCACCAGCGGAGAGCGTGGGAAAGCCAGCCCGCGCACGGGGCGTGCTCACGAGGCGCCCACGGGCGGGCACCCACCGAAGACTGAACGCGCCAGTCAGTGCACGCAGCATGCACGAGGCGCCCACGAGAGGACGGGCTCATCGTGCAAGAGCCCCGATACGCCAACCATCGCTCGGAGCGCCCACGATGCGCCCATATTCGGGCGCCGGGCGAATACCTGGAAACGCCGCCCAAACACTCACTAAGTAGAATCTCTCAATGACAGCACCGTTGCAGGAGTACCTCAATCTAGCGACAGAACATCTCGTTTCGCATGACGGCGCCCCTGGACAATGACACATATGGACGTCGACATTCCGTCGGGAAATGCCGAGATTATACCAGAGGAAAACCCCAATCAGTGGGTGGACTGGAAATTGGGCAGACGTTCCAGTCTCGAAGAGGGTTGAGGCATTCTCGCCTTTTCGGGCATTCGTCGGTTCGAAGCGGTTCAAGAGGATAGACGATCTCAGAGGGCCCGTCGAGGGCCCAATGCGGTGTGAATACGGCCCCGCGACTGTCCGAGGAGACCGAGTAGACGGCGAAGAGGGTCCCAAGACGGGCCACTTGAGTCTCAAGACTGTGCCACGATAGCTTGGGACAACCCTGGGACGGCCCGAATGAGCTCCCAGAAATGAGGTCGAGAGTTGAGGATGCAACGGCGCTTCTCTTACGCATCCTCTTGCCAACGACCAATGTCATCAACATTCCCGAGTATCGTCATGATCATGAGGATAACCGTCATCAGCAGCAGTATCATCGTTAACAAGATCATTATAATCATCCTGGTCATCATCATCACCATCGTTGACATTGGGTCTTCGTTGATGGTTATGATGGCACGGCGGTTGTATTTGCCGCAAGGCATGTGGATATTCGCGAAGTGGGCTCGTACAGCCACGAACAGAAGCATGCGAATACACAGGAACTGGCTCTTAGACGGAACAGCGCGTGCGTCCTAACGCCATAGAAGCATTGCGACGATGCGAAAACAGGCCCAACCTGTCCGGCGAAGCACATGAACGATGATTAGGAAAAAAGGTAGCAGGGACATGGTTTATGAGCAAACGCCGTTGTAGAGTTCCAACAACCCTGTATGCGTAAGTGGTATAGTAAATGCTTCCTGTCCTCATTCCCTGGTTTTCCTTCGGGGAAGGGTTTGTCTGAGCTCCTTATTCAAAGAACCCTCCATCCCGCACATGCGTCCGGCAAAGTCGACACAATGATACTCCGACCCCCACCATCTATGTCGAACGCAATAGATTCAACGTGCGCTTTGCGCCAAAGTGTTGGACCTTGTGCGAGATCCCCGCGGTCATGTCTCGTGTAGTCCTCCTCCTTCACCTCTTCGGCCTCATTCATATCCTCCTCCTCCTCCTTCTCGCCCTCGTCCTCCTGGTCATTGTCGTTCTCCTCGTCATCGTCGTTGTGATTTTCCTTTTCCTCTTCTCATTCCTCATGCTCCTCGTCCTCCTCTTCCTTCTCGTCATTATCCTCTTCCTCTCCCCCTCCTTCTTTACTACTCCCCGACCTCTCAATCTTTGACCTTGTCCATCTGCTCCTGTTCGTCCTCGTCCTCGTCGTTTCTTTCCTAGTTCTCGTCCGTGTCCTCTTCGTAGTCCTCCTCGTCCTGCTCCTCCTCCATATCTTCCTTCCTCCTCTCCCTCATCCTCGTCCATCATCACTATCCCTCCTCCTCCTCCTCCCCATCCTCCCCCGCTCCCGTCTTTTATCATTATCATGCTCGTTTTCGTCCTCCTCCTCCTCCTCCTCTTCCTCCTCCTCTTCATCCTCCCTCTCCTCTTGCCGTATTTATCCGCTTCGCCCCTGCGTGCCTCTGTACCTACCGATGGTCAGGAACCCAGGAACCCGGAACCGGGAACCCGGGAACCAATGAGATCCGTATGAACTCGACGCTGAGATCGGTACTGAACCATCGGCCCGGAACCAATGACCAGGAACCCGGGAACCCGGGAACCCGGGAACCGGGAACCCGGGAACCCAGCGTGCCACCAAAATCGGCGAGGCACTTTCGCCAACTCTAGCAACATCCGCGAGGACCCCTTCAGTGCAAGCACTGATTGGGGAATAATGGCCGATTGTAGGTAGTAGCCTTGAAGCAAGATGCTGTCTTAGAGCGGAATCCAAGGACAAACGTCGCATGCTGGAATAAGACCTACAACGAGTCCCTCAATTTGCGAAGACAGACTGCAAATCAAACACCTCTTTCTCTCGACGGAGCACCCGCTTTTCTTCGAACACCATGACTCCAAATTGAGATGCGTCGCTGAGCAAGGCTTTGCGGCAGATTGTCCCTTCCTGTTCACCATCCTCCTAATCCTCCGTATGATTCCCTGTTTCCGCCACTAAAGAAGCGAAACAAGACGTGTAGCCAACGCCAGTACCAACGTTCCTCGAACGACAGGAGAACGAAGGGTGTACCCACATGTGCCTTCAAGCCAAAAAATAGAATGAAATAGAAGGTCACACACCGTAGCCGCAGACTCTGCAACAATGCCCGTCCAAGCCTCGAAAATGTGGTCGGGAAATGCCCGGGCGATGTGCTCCTGCGGCGGGATCAGCAAGGTCGCTATCATGCAACATTCGCACCGGGAGTGAGGGAAAGAGGAACCCTCTGCAAAATGAGATCCATTTTGCCAACAATGCTCGCAATCATTTTTCAAGCTGCTGGGACGATTCAGGCCGAACTCAAATGAACAGGCGCCCTGCAAACATCGCTCTGCTCCTGGAAGGTCTTGCCTGCTGTGACCAGCAGAAGTGATACGCCAGGGCGTGGGTTGTGAAGTCACGTCATGCAGAAAAGACGAGCGAGGCTCTCTTGGCAAATCTTTTACAATAGCTAAGCGTCCTTCCCAGAAGCAGCGATTGTTCTTAAGGCTTAGCGCTTGCCTTCTATAAGGGTTTTCCCAATTGCCCGGGCGTTTCTTGGTTGTCGTCGCCGGTGGGAGAAAAACACGAGGCGATATTTCCCCAGGTGATGCTGGCCCCCTTCTGCGTGATGAAATGAAAAATTCCACGTCGTGATTTCGATTGCGTCATGAGATGATGCGGGCCCGTACGGATTCCCTGATGTGTGGCTTTGTACTTGCGGGTCGGATGATGAGAGAGAGAGAGAGAGAGAGAGAGCGTGCTCCACCGCCGCTTTACTGTGGAAAATTGCCGCCCTTTTCCTCCGGAACCCGGGGGTACCCCCCCCCCTTCCGAAAATCCCCCCCCCCCTCCTGGACCCCCCCCCCTCCCCTCCCCCGGCAAACCACCCCCCCTCCCCTAACCCCCCTCCCCTCCCCCTCGAAAACTGGGGGGGGTCACTAACGGTTCGAACCCCCACCCCCCGAAAACCGGAGGGGGGATCACTACCGGACCGGTTCGAACCCCTCCTCCCGCCCCCCTCCCCCTCGAAAACCGGGGGGGGTCACTACCGGTTCGAACCCCCCCCCCTTCGAAAACCGGAAGGGGGATCACTACCGGTTCGAACCCCTCCCCCCCCCCACTCACCGCCAGCAAACGACTCCCGATCCCTACCACCGTCCGCATCACATCCCCCACTGTTGTTCCCAGCACCACTGTCCTCACCACCACTGTCCCCACTGACTGGTTCCACCGTCCCTACTGTCCCCACCAAGGCCCCCACCACTGTCGTGTCGCACTGTCCCCACTGTCCCCACCACTGTTCCCACCACGGTTCCACTCTCCCCACTTTCTCCACGGCCCCAACCACAGCCCGACTATCCCCACTGTCCCCACTGTCCCACTGACTCCTCCGCTGTCCCACTGAGCTGTCCCACTGTTCCCACCACTGTCCCCACTGTCCCCACCACTGTCCCCACTGTACCTCTGTCCCATTGTCCCACCGCCGTCCTCGCCACCGCCTTCACCACTGTCCCCACCACCACTGTACCCTCCACTGTCCCATTGTTTCCACCTCATTCCCACTGTCCCCACACCACTGTCCCCACCACCACCGTCCCCACCACTGTCCGCTGTCCCCACTGTTCCCACCATTGTCCTCACCACTGTCCCCACCACTACCGTCCCTAAAACTGTCCCACTGTCCCGCTGTCCCCTCACCACTGTCCCCACCACTACCGTCCCCACCACTGTCCGCACCCCCACTCGGTTTTCGAGGGGGGGGGTGGTTCGAGCCGGTAGTGACCCCCCCCCCGGTTTTCGAGGGGGGGGGGTTCGAACCGGTAGTGACCCCCCCCCTTTTCATGATGAACTGGGGGGGGGGAGGGGTTTGAACCGGTAGTGACCCCCCCCGGTTTTCCGGAAGGGGGGGGAGGGGTTCGAACCGGCCCCCGGTTTTCCGCCAGCAGCGGTAGAACACGCTCTTTCGATGATGAATATCCAGGAAAGATCTCCCTACTTTTGGTCAGAGAATGCCTCGCTGCGGATGATATCAAAATGACGGTCCATACGTGAGCAAATGGCGTGGCTCCCGTGTTTGTGCATTTCTTGTTTGCTGTGTGTGACCAAAAGGAAATCAACAAACAACAATATCACGGCGCGGTCACGTTAAAACCGAGCAGGTGCTTTGTTACTACATCAAGCCGAACCACCTTGTATGAAAGTGGATCCCGAAAAGTTGATTGCACTGGAGGGGTCACGTGAGCTTACATGTCGGCGGTGGGGGGGCGGAAAGATGGTTATACTGGACGCGGGGAGGTCTGCCATTAGCAAAGCAAAGTATTAAGGCACGACGCGCTGTACCAACCAATGATCTAACCCTTCCTGGCAAGGGCTGAAATTGTGGCCCGTCCTTAGACCGGCTCACGCTGCACACAACATGAAAAACATCTGTCCGAAATGAGCGAAGCGGGCAGAACACATGGACGATGGCCAAGCGGGGGGGGAACAACATGGACGAATGATACCGAGGAGGCCGTCAACGGTCACATCAATCATAATTCCTCAAACAATGCATGTTCCAGCCTCTCGTCGTGACCGTGTAGTTGGCCCTGCTCGTGCGCCCCCGATGGCAACGAAGATCTCTTATTCACTCCTGCGGATGTGTAACGCAAACTTAAAAGCATGCTAGACATGTCGAGCTCCAGCGCAGGCGTGACATTGCAGCATGACGAAGGGCCGCCGACCTGTAGGCTTGTCGAACCCGTGGTCGCGCCTGCTTGGGCTCACGCGCGGAACAGTTCGACCCATCATACCAAAATATCATCGCACTATCACCCTTCATGGGAACGGCGCCAAGGCGATGGTGCGTGGTCAACTTTGGAATGAACCATCCTCAGCTCGGCGGGCTGAGTGGCAGGGAATCGTCTCGGAGGCTGCATAACGAAGCCAGAAGTGACGCCAACGATCTCGACGGGGTGGGCGCGAGAAGAAACCAGACCCAAACGGCCTTCACGTGCCGCGGCGGACCCCTGGTGTCCATTTCCTGGCGGCTTACGACAACGGGAACCGAAACGGCAACTTTGAGGTCGTTGGTCGCGGGAGCAACATCGCGCGGCGGTCGGGCTTCCACAGGGACACGTAAGCGAACACACATGGAGCACAGGGGTCGAAGCGGGGAATGAACTGGCCACGCACGAAGCATCGGCGGCGAGCCCGGGGGGGAAGCGAGAAGGGGCGGACCTTCTCAGATGGCTCGAAGTCCCCCGGCGTTCCGTAGAGTGGTCTGAGCCTTCCCCGGAGACGCAACAAACCTCTCAGAGGGAGCGAGGGCTTCTGAGAAGTCCCGCCGCCTTCTGAGGCCGTCTACTTCTTACTTCCCCACCTCGCTCGCCGACGGGAGGAGGAGGAGGAGGAGGAGGAGGAGGAGGAGAACACGAGAACGCGATGAACGCCAAACCCGCTGGGCAGACAAGCAGAAACAAAGACGAACAAGTCAACCAGAAGAGCCGGATGGCGGAGTGGAGGGCGTGCACGCCCCGGCGGGGCCATCCTGCCTATCGCAGGTCTCTACGAAGCCGGAGCAAGGGGCAAAGGGAGAGCAGGGGCAGAAGAGGGCGCGAAAGAGGCACGAGCGATGTCGTCTAGGCCAGGCTTCTCCGCCAGGCCCCGGTGTGGGGCCTGGACAAGTTCGCGCGGCCGAAGACTTCTTTCTCCCACTGTCAGCCCCCGACGGCTGGAGGCAAGAGGGGCTATCCCGCGCTTGCAGCGAGGCGAGCTGCCGCCAGGGCAGCGCTCCTGGTCGAATCACGCTCCCTAGGGCCCCCCCCCACTCGAGCAGGAGGCACTCGAGCATTGGGCGTCGCTCAATGGTGGGGCGACGAATGGGGAGGGAACAGAGTCGCACGTCTCGAGCCCGCAAGGCCCCCTTTTGGGCCATCACGGGCCCTTTTGGGAGCCCTACAGAGCCCTTTTTCTGCGGCCCTCGCTGCACCCCCATCTATCGCCCCCCCTTTATACGCGACGTCCAAAGCAGGAGGCAGGAGCGGCGGCTGAGAGAGCAGGTGAGCAGCAGCAGCAGAGGCCTGGGCGAGCCCGTCCTGCAGCCTGGCGCTGCAGTCGCCCTCGCCCGCCAGCACCGCCTCGCCCGTCGCGCGCGGCGCGGTCGTCTCCCCTCCAGCCTCTCCCTTCTTCCCCCCCCCCTCCCGTCGTACGACCCTCTGCTGTAATGATTGATCTACGTGTGTACATACATTTTCGTACATGTATGATGAATACAGGAACGCACACGTATGTGTCATGTGTCATGCGACCCCGCTCCCATCGTACGGCCCTCCGTGTCAGTATGTGTATATACACGTACACACGCGCATAACCACATCTATATTTAAATACATATACATACTAGAACCATCGCGCGCGCTTCGCGCGCGCTCAGGCTCTAGCCCAGGCCGGGGGGGCGCTAGAAGATCTTGGACACCGCTATCAAGAACAAGCGCTTGAGATTGTCATGCCTCCTGAGGGCCTCCTGGGAACCTCTTGATATTCGAAGCAGGCGGAAGAGCAAGGATGAGCAGGATTTGCCAATGGACGACTCTGAGCTCTAAACTCCCGAACCTCAACAATTGCGGCTGTTCGTCGCGCACGGCCTGAGCTAGGAAATGGAAGCCACCCGTGCCTGTCACCTGTCGCCTCCACTCACGCAGCTGTGATATGCAGTTCTTGAAGTACATGTCTGCGAACAGGATGACGCCCAGGACAGGGTCTGGGATTGGCTTTGAGCGGAGATTGTATTGAGGAAGGGCGAACCAATAACATCGGCACCTCTGGAACCATCGCAATCAGCCATGGTCCTCCCTGGCGGTGTCAAGCCCAGTCCTTCTCCAATCTCCACCTCTGGGAGGCATCGTGGACCGCCCTACCCGAGGTGGCACACAAGTGGTGGTGGTGTCGCTTCTCTCCCCTCCGGTACAAGTACAGTCAAGCTGCTGCAGTAAGGAGGCCTTATTAAGAAACGAAGCCCCAAATTAGTAATAAAATAGGCTGGGCGCACGAGGAGAGCCAGAAAAACTACCACGAAAGTCCTGGGGAACAGCGAGCTCCTTCCGAACCCAAAGTGGTCCTAGTTTCAGCGCCTTGACTTTGGGGCGCGGATGACGAATGTGAAAACGAGAAAACGGAAGGAAACGAACGACGTGGACGAGGAAACGGAGAGGAGGGAGGAGGGGGTGTGGAGGAGCAGGATGGGGATGAACTCCACAGCTCTGTCCAAGAATAACACCAATGATGGCATGACGAAAACGGGAGTGAACATGGGACCACGCAGAGGAAACCAAAACGAGTTAGGGTGGAAGCTCGAGAACGCGAGAAAGCGGAAAACATTGGGTTCTCTCGAGACGCCTCTCAGAGCTCTCTTGGGGCTTCTTGAAGGCCTCTTGGGCTGTGTACTTGCCGTGTTGGACCTATCTGAGGCCACGCTGGGCCCATCTGGGCCGTCTTGGAGCGCCTTGGCGCCTCCCGCTCCCGCTCTGTGGCCCAGCTTGGGCCTGACCTGGGGCTCTCTTGGGCCGTCCGGGGCTCCTCCTGGGCAATTTTCAAACTCCCTGGTGCCGTCTCGGGGCTCTGCTGGGGGCCTCTTCGGCGGTCTTGGGGGCGTCGTCGGCCGTCTTGGGGAGTGGGAAGGTCGAAAACGCGAGAAACCGAAAAACATAGAAAACACATTGGAAATCAATGATTAGGGCCTCTTCGGGCTTTGTCGGGATGCTTCTCGAGGCATCTTGGAGGCCTCTTGGGCTGTGTATTTGCCGTGTTGGGCCCATCTGGGCCGTCTTGCAGCGCATTGGCGCCTCCCACTGGCGGTCTGTGGCCCAACTTGGGCCTGTCCTGGGGCTCTCTTGGGCCACGTGGGGCTCCTCCTGGGCAATTTTCAAACTTCCTGGTGCCGTCTTGGGGTTCTTTTCGGGGCCTCTTCGGCGGTCTTGGGGCGGTCTTGGGGGCGTCGTCGGCCGTCCTGGAGCGTCGGAAGGTCGAAAACGCGAGAAACCGAAACACATAAAGAACAAACAAGTGACAATCCGTGATTGGGGCCTCTTCGGGCTCTCTCGGGATGCTCAGCGGAGCTCTCTTGAGGCCTCTTGGAGGCCTCTTGGGCTGTGTATTTGCGGTCTCGAACGCATCGCTGGCCACGTTGGGGCTATCTGGGCTGTCTTGGAAGGGCTTGTCGAAGTCCCCGGGGGCTTCTGGGAGCTCTCTGGTGCAGTCTGGAAGCTCCAGGGCCGCTCCGGGGTGCTGTGGGAGCGGTCTGGGAAACTTCGGTCCTCCCATGCCCTCCCGTGGCCCGAACCCCGGTCGCCCGGGCCTCGTGCACGGGTATGTCTATATATATAGATGCTCCACCCGAGGGCCTGACCAGAAGGCGCGAGGGAGAGGCGAGAGAAGAGGGAAGCCCCGGAGCTCTCGCCGATCTCTTTCACAAATCACTCCAGATCTGGCAACTGGTCGCCTCCACGAGGCAATCTCGCTAGAAGAAGGGCTGGCTGAATACAAACACGCCTGCAGCCTCAGAGAGGCTAAACGATTCAAAGGCTCCCGGGAGCTCCGAAGAGTAGATGAGCAGACGATTTGGAAAGATTCAGCAGCCGTCACCAAGGAAAAAGCCCGCCTTTTTACACAGGGCAGGGTGGGTGGGTCACTGTGAGCCAATACGATTAAGGAGGAGGCCAGGGGAGGAGAGGGAACGCATCAAGACATTCACAACCTCCCCTCAGGCGGTGGAGACACGAGGCGTCACCACGGGTCAGAAACTGTACTCCGAATCTACAATCGTGCAACTGATGAATAGATGCTCCACCCGAGGGCCTGACCAGAAGGCGCGAGGGAGAGGCGAGAGAAGAGGGAAGCCCCGGAGCTCTCGCCGATCTCTTTCACAAATCACTCCAGATCTGGCAACTGGTCGCCTCCACGAGGCAATCTCGCTAGAAGAAGGGCTGGCTGAATACAAACACGCCTGCAGCCTCAGAGAGGCTAAACGATTCAAAGGCTCCCGGGAGCTCCGAAGAGTAGATGAGCAGACGATTTGGAAAGATTCAGCAGCCGTCACCCATAACCCATATTATGATTCACGGGTGGGCGGGATGGGCAAAATTCACAGAAAAAGATCGTAAAAAGCCTCCTCGAATACTGTGATCAGGCGCTAGTCTGGAAACGAACTCCTGTGGCGCGAAGCAGCTTCTGTTCGAGGCGACTGGCGGCACGCTTGAACTGCTGCTGCTGTGCGGGCGAGAGGCGGCTGATCTGCCTCATGAGTCGTCCCTCTTTGCCGTACCTCGCCACGGAGCGGTCGCTGAGCCAGCCCCCGCGCTTCTTCAGCACAGGGAGCGTGGCAAGGCCGTTCAAGTAGTCGAGAGAAGGGCCACCGTGTCGCAGCGTGTGCGGCGACACTTTCAGCGCTGCAGGCCCTAGTCGGTGGCTGGCCTCGCGGAACAGGCGCTCGTAGGAGGACAGCGGGAGCTCGTTGAACAGGCGCTGGGCACGACGTGCACGGGCTCTGGCAACGAGCTGTCGAACAAGCTGCCGAAGCCAACCACGAGATGGGTCGATAGACCCGACCATCACGGTGTCGTCAAACTGCTGATTCTTGTTGGGCCGAGGTGCTGGGCCACTCGAAGGGGCCACGATCAGCGCCACCTTGTCATAGCGGTCGCCAGCCCTGCCTGAGGGCAACACCACGTGCTCGAGGGACAGGCTGACCGCAGCCGCTGGACGAAGGTAGGTGTCGAACTGCAAGGCGCCGCAGGCGGCGGCAAGGATGGACTCGGTCGTGCCCAGCTCGAGCCAGTGGTCGGCGATCGCGGCGAACACCTCCCAAGGGCACGGGTCGCGGCTGAGCTCTGGGCAGGCTTTCACCCAGCCCGCCAGAGCTTTCACAGCATGAGGCAGGTTGCGCGAGGGCGCAACGATGCCGTGCAGGTGGGCGTAGCCGAACAAGGTGTGCCGACCAGCCCATGGCTCACAGCCGTCGAAAAAGAGAAAATCAAAGTACGCGGAGAGGCTGGCGTCTAGCTGCTCGAGCGGAGCCAGTGCCCGGGGCGGGGCCTGTTGGCTGGCCCAGCGGACGAAGTCCGAGGAGCACGTCTCGTAGTTGACAAGCGTCCCCTTCCCGACGGTCTTGCGCTCCAGAAACCTGTCGCCGGGGTCGTGTCCCGCGGCGGCCCGTCGAGAGGCCGCCTTAGCAGCGCGTCGTCGATCTCGATCTGGTAGCTCCGCGCCGAGGGCCGACCCAGACCACGCGCTGGCCCCAGTGCTTGACGGCGTCCTTCCACGGGCTCTGGTAGCACCTGGGGCAGTGAGGCCTGAAGACGTCGGTCGGGATCGGGCAGCCTCCGGCTCGCGCCAAGTCAGCTTCCCATCGCTCCAGCGAAGTGGCATCGGCCCCGCGGGCCGTGTCTGGAGCCGCCCGGGCCAAGATGGCTGCCCAGGAGCGGCAAAGTCGAGGAGGGTAGCGCCCTGCCAGAGTCGTCTTCCAGGCCCACCGCCCTCGAGCCTCGCCGGGCCCTGGAGGCAGAAGGACTTTCCCTTCAAGAATCTCATGATGATGGCTTCCTGGGCATAGACGATGTAGCCCCTGAAGGGCCTGCATGTTGGTGGCCAGGAGGGTCGGCTTGAGATACCCCGCACCGTACGCACAGTTATCGTATCGGACAAGGATCGCGTTCTGCCTCTGCAGCTCCTTCCTAAGGGGCTTCCAGGAGAAGAGCCTCGAGGAACGCGGGTTCTCGAGTGAGTAGTGGACGCCATACTGATTGCAGAGTTTGATGAGCCCCAACGAGAACTTGGCCAACTGGAGGCCCCCAAGAGCGGCTGAACTTGAGCCCGTCGTGCGGGCCCTCGACCAAGTAGTGCACGGAGTCCCCAAGTGGAGGTACCACACGAGCCCCTGCTTGACCAAGCCCTTGATGTGCCTCTGGGTCCTCTGCCTCGTGACGTCCATGTGGGGGCCCCTCGAGATCTCGATGGGGCACCCGATGTTGAGGTCGGCCTCCTGACAGGCGGCGGAGAAGGCGGCGCAGCCGGCGAAGATCTCCAGGACGAACTGATGCTGAGCTGACGTCCTGACGACAGGGTTGTTGCTTTTTCTGTGCTGCTCAGTCCGTGCTCGCGGGCCCCGCTGGCGGGTGCGTCGGCGGGGCCGCGCCGCGCCTGGGCTGCATGGAGCGGCAAAATGCACGCGAGGCCCCATGCGCCCGAGAGGTGACCGCCGCTCGGGCGGAGTCCGAACCCTCGTAGGGGTCGGGAGGGCTGCGGGCGTCTGCCGCGGCCCCATTCGCCCCAGCCCCGACCGCGAAGGCGGCGGTCGACGGACCCGAGCGCTGGGTCGGGCTGGGGGCGAGTCGGGGGCCCGCGAGCATCGCTGCAGCACCGCCCGGCCATGCCGGCCAGCGACGGAGCTCCCGGCGGCCAGCTCGCCTCGGTCGGCCGCCCTCGAGTCGAAGTCGGTCGGGTTCCTCTTGCTCTCCACGTAGCGAAGGGACCGGTCGAGCTCGCAGCCGATGGAGAGGGCCCCGGCGCGCTGGCACAGGCGCCGAAGGGCAAAGCTGCCCGAGCGCCCCTTCTCGAAGCTGCAGAGGCTCGAGAGGTTGTCCCCGATCGAGAGAACTCTCTTCCCGTGAAGGCCGACGCACCTCGAGGCCCGCACCAGGCCCATGAGCAGCACGCGGCCCTCCTTCTCATGGATGACCCCGTCGTGCTGCCACGCGCCCTTGATGACCATCGCCCAGCGCTTGCTCGCGAGCAGCGCGTCGGGCAGCGGCGGGATCCCCACCTCCTCGGCCGGCCGCTCCACGGTCTCGATGTCGCGCCACGGCCGGCAGCGAACCGCAGGTCCGCCGCCGAGGTCACGGGGGCCGCCGCCGAGAGACCCCGCTGGGTCTGGCGAGGCTCGCCACTCGGCCGACCAGCCGCCCACGGCCCCCCAGCCATCGTCGCTCCGCTCGACCGCGTCGAAGCGCCACCGCTCTCGGTAGCGTGCCACGGCCCGAAACTCGGGTCCCGAGACGGAGGTGACGTGCAGCGCGTAGCCCACGGCAGAGGAGTCGCCGCAAAAGGCGACGCTGGCAGGCTCTGCGCTGAGACGGGCCTCGGCCAGGAACACGAGCCAGGAGGACACTTCCAGCTCCCACCTGACGGACGCCCACAGGCGAACCTCCTTGCCGCCGCTCTCGGACATGAAGGACCAGACCTTGTCGAGCACCGAGAGCCCGAAGCGCAGCAGCTGGCAGTGGTGCACGATGTGGCCGACCAGAACCTGCAGCACGAGCCCGCTGCAGCGGCCTCGGCGCAGCACGGCGCGCAACGCCAAGTGGAGCCGCCAAACGCGTCGAGGCTTGGGACGCAGCAGACGACGCCGACCATCAAACTCCACCCCCAGCAGCTCGAGCGTCTCGGCGGGAGAGTTCTCCTCATGGTAGTGCAGCCCGCTCTTGTCGAGGTCGCCCTTGACGGCGTCCAGGGCGCGCTGCGTGGCGGCTCGGCTGAGCCCGATGACGTTGGCATTGCCGACGTACGGCAACCGGTAGGCCAGCTCGGGCCGCGGCGCCTCTGGCGCGTGCCGATCCTGCAGCAGGCTCGTCTCCGTCCTGCCCGCCTCGGAGGTGATGGCGTGGCAGAAGTGGAGCGCCCAGGACCACCCCATGGGCAGTCCCTCGAAGACCGGGAAGAGCATCTCGTCCGGCCCCACCGGCACGAAACACTCCCGCTCCTCGTCGAAGATCTCACTGACCCCCCAGACGTCAGCGCGCTCGGCGAAGTCGATCCCGAACAGCGAGCCCAGCTTGCGGTTGCGAAACTGGTAGAAGCCATTGTACAGGTCGACCGAGGCTGCGTTGACGTCGACCGGCCCGTCCGAGCCGACCGAACTGTCTGAAAGGTCGAGGGACCCGAGCGCCGCCACGGTCCCGAGCCGCGTGTGTGGCGGGCGGCGACACATACGGTTGGCCTCCCTCGCGTCGACGATGAGGCGCAGGGTCCCGTCCTTCTTCGAGACGAAGAAGATCCCCATCCTCGCTCTGATGCTCCGTCGGAACCCCAGCAGCCCAAGCTCCTTGAGCCTCGCGAGCAGCCGGTAGCGCTCCTTCCTGGAGAAGCGCAGCTTCGGGTCCCAGAAGGGCGAGAACGGCATCTCCTGCTCGTTCGCGCGCTCGAGGTCGGAGCTGTCGCGGAGAATGTGCTTCTCCGGGTGGGCCAGCATGTCACGCTGGTCAGGCGGCGCCAGGTCCAGGACGTCGCGGACCGTGATGCCACACTCGAGAATCTTGACCCGCTCGTACGCGTACGATCCCAGGTTGCTGGGCTCGAGGCCGTACAGGTCCTTGGTGCGCAGGAGCTCCTTGAGGGCCCCCTGCTCGCTGAGGTCGGCCGGGCGTCCCCCGGCGGCCCCAACTCGTCGCGCCACCCGCTCGAAGACCGATAAACTGCTCGGCCCGAGGGGGCGCTCTCCTGTTGAATTTCGCCCCCGCCCGGCTGAGCGAAAGGGGCGCGACGGCCCGGCCTCCAGAGCGTTGAGCGCCCCCAGCACCGAGTGGATCCGCCGCTCACGGCTGGCCCGCCTCCGAAGTCTTTGCCGAAGATAGCGGGGCACAAGGCGTAGTTCAGGTCGAACTTGTTCAGGTACCAAAACTGGGAAGGGCTCTCCATGGCGTCGGGCCCCCTTCTCTTCCCCAGGCATAGCGGCACCGCCGCGTCGAGCTCAGCGCCTGGGGACCCAGCGCTGAGCGCGACGGCGCCCCTCGATGCAAGGGCTACTTGGCCCCCGCGCCCGGCTGATCCTTCTTGCCAGCCTGGCGCTTGTCGTCTGCCGCTCTCTCCTCCCGCCACAGCCTTTGCTGCTTGAGGAGGAAGCCTTCGTCCTTCTGCCGCTCGGCGACCCACTTGGTGAAGTTCCTCGTGGTCACCTCCCCGCCCGTGCCGATCGGGTGGGACATCATAACCTCCAGCCCCTCGAAGTCGGGCGACTTCGGGTTCCTCCGAACTGCAGCCTCGATCTGAATCAACCTTCTGATGTGCATCTCGTTCGAGAGGCTGTTCGTGAGGTCGTACTGGTCCACCGACTGCGCCACGAAGAGCGCGCTGCTGAGATGCCGGTGCTCGCGGGCCAGCCCTGACTTCGACGACGCGCCGCTCTTGGCCTCCCAGTCCAGATTGTGTGTCACGAAGTTGAAGCCGACCCGCAACATATTCACCATGAACTCCTCGGCGGCCTCTGGCCCCTCGAAGGGCTCGTAGGGCATCTTCGTCTTGCTCTGCTTCTTCGTCGCCTCGTCTGGGTGCAGGTACCGAAGCCCTCGGTGGTCCCGAACGTCCCCGAGCAGCCGGGGATCGCGTCCCGGCCCACACCGCTTGGCCGATAGCCATGCCTCCAACCTGTCGTCCACGACCTGCTCGATCAAGACGCCCGCGTCGTCGATCGTCACCCAGCCCACCTTGTCGCCCAGCGTGCAGCCCTCCTGGTCTCGGAGAGCATCCAGTGGAACGATCTCTCCAAAGGCTCGGTGGGCTGTGTCCGCGACCCGCCACGTGGCGTTCTCCGCCGCGGCCGCTGGGCCGGCGGCCGGCCTGAAGCCTGTCAAGTCGAAGCCCGCCACCTCGGCCAGCTCGTACGCCTCGGCCCGGATCCGAGCCAGCTCTCCCTCGTCCAGCTCTTCGTCGAAGACGAACGCCTCGCGAAGGTACACCGGGTCGATCGGCTCTCCCCGCCGAAGGATGCGGATCCGATGCGTCGAGAGATCCGCGACCTGCACGGCCAACGTCGGCGAGCATACAATCCATCTCCCCTGACCTCCTGGGATCAAGAGGATCCGAGCGTGCCAGAACAGACCGTTCTCGTCGTCGAAGAAATCGATGAGCACTTGCTTCTCGACGATGTCGAGAGCCCTATGCGCCATTCCTCAGTCGGAGGGTCGAAGGCGTCGTCGCGAAGGGCCTGTCCACGAAGGGCTCCGCCTCGGACGCCGAAGGGACCGACCTGCTGCGTCGCCCACCCAGCCTCCCGAGTAGGCAGCCTCCCCCGCCACAGCCCGCCGCCAGGCAGCAGAGGAGCAGGATCAGCAGCCACGGGAACGCGGGGCAAGCGTCCAGGCAGCTCTCGCAGGCCTCGCAGACCTGCGCCGCCGGGCACTCCGGCGATGCCCGTCCGCTGCGCGCAGCCGCAGCGAACTCGCCCACCAGCTGGTAGCAGGCGCTGTTGTCCGGGCACGTGACCCCCGGACAGGCAGGACAGTGCTGCTCCGGGCAGCTCAACGAGACGTCGGGGCACCGCTGCCCGTGTCCCGAAAGATCGCGGGCCACGGCCCAGAAGAAGTGGAGGGCGGCAGCGGGGTCCCCTCCCATTCAGCTGTCGCCGACAGGGGACCCCAAATCACTGTGAGCCAATACGATTAAGGAGGAGGCCAGGGGAGGAGAGGGAACGCATCAAGACATTCACAACCTCCCCTCAGGCGGTGGAGACACGAGGCGCCACCACGGGTCAGAAACTGTACTCCGAATCTACAATCGTGCAACTGATGAATATATATATATATATATATATATAAATAAGAGAGAGAGAGAGAGAGAGAGAGAGAGAGAGAGAGAGAGAGAGAGAGAGATAAGAGAGAGAGAGAGAGAGTGAGAGACATAGAGAGAGAGAGAGAGAGAGAGAGAGAGAGACCCCCCAACAAATGGGCATGTCCTCAGGTCCTTTGCCCCATGTCCAGAGCCTCAGCCCTCAGTGCTGCAGAGTCTCGGAAGCCCCTGGAGCCCAAATGGCCAAATCTCTCGCAGCTTGGCGCGTGCCCCCTGGGGCTACCCGCGGCTTCTCGCATGACTTCTGCGGGCCCAAAGAGGGCCCCAAGGCGAGCCCACGGGGCCCCCGAAAGGCCTCCCAAACGCTCCAAGAGGGCTCCGAATCGCCGAACGATCGCCCCGGGACGCCCAAGATGGCCCCAAGGCGGCCCAAGAAGCCTCCGAGACACCCAAAAAGGCCGCCTCCGAGAGGCCTCCGAGAGGCCTCCCCGGAGGGCCAAGGGGCCCCTGAGAGGCGACCAGACTACCTCCAGGAGGCCCCGAAAAGCCTCCCACGAAATCCCAACGAATATTCAATGGGCTTCGCCCCCACAACAAAGGCACCGTGGCAGGGTGGGCCTAAGGCCATGCTACATCCATGCTATGTCCGTGCTTATATATATATAAGGGAGAGAGAGAGAGAGAGAGAGAGAGACAGAAAGAGAGAGAGAGAGAGAAAAAAAAAAAAAAAAATAGAGAGAGGGAGAGATGATCATGTTTTTCCCCTCGAAACGCCAACCAACGCCCGCCACGCCATGTCTCCAGACTCGACGCCGGCTGCCGAATTCACGCAACCGAACGCTACCCGCCAGGCCCCCGACAGAGACCCTGGACTGGGGCTCCTGCTGGGTGGCGCTAGGGATCTTTCTGGCCTCCGGAAGGGCAGAGCATCCCGCAGCCATTTACGCCACCAGCAAAGCCCTCGAAATCTGAAGAAGCCCGCAGTGTAGGCCCTCACCTCAAGCGGCACGAATGCGCGGCGAGAGGGGAATTGGTCAGGCCCCCACCTCAAGGGGCACGCGCGCGCGGCGAGGGAGGAAGAAGACAAATACGACATTGCGACGGGGACGCCAAAGCGTCGGGGAGAGACGCGGCACGCAGAGACAAGAGAGGAGTTACAGACAGGGGGAAATCGGAATGGAAATGGCAAGAAACCCATCAGCGCACGATCGCTGCCGCCATCGATCATCCGCCGCCGTCTGAAAAATGAGTGGGTGGCGAGACCTTCGAACGACCAAGAGACCAACTGCACCGCAATCGCGCGTATACGCTCTGTCGGCTCCTCGCTCACATGGCCTTGCGTGGGCCCCCTCGCCCCCAGCTCAGGCCGTACAGCGAAGCGATCCTCCCGCGGCCAAGCATGGTCGCGAAGCCGATCTCCAACATGGCGAAAGTGGACTGACTCAGCTTGCCCATCGGCGCGAACAGGCGCAGCAGCAGGTCCATCGGCACGAACTGGGACTGGCGCAGCAGGCGCATCGTGACGAGCTGGCTCAGCAGCAGGCCCGCCGGCATGCACAGGGTCTGGCTCAGCAAGTCCATCAGCATGCACGGGCGTAGCAGCACGGTCGTCAGGGTATGGCTCTGCAGATATATCAGGGCGAACTGTTTCAGGAGGGCCATCGGCACGAACCGGGGCGGCACACGCCCAGGAGGCCGGCGAGGCAGAGGACGCCAACGAACCGGCAGGCGCCGCGCAGGCCCAGGTACGGCACGCCGAATACCACCATGACGCTGCCGAGCCAAGTTATCGCGCCGCCCGTGCGCCCCGCCGCGCCGCGAATCTCCTGCGGCTCAGCAGGAACCTCCGGGCGAACTGGTCCAGCTGCAGGCCCACTGCCTCGAGCGTGGTCTGGCTCAGCAGGTCCATCGGCCTGGGCGGAGTCAGCCGCTGGTCCATCGTCGGCTTGGGCAGGGTCTGGCGCTGCAGGCGCACCTGCGCGAACTGGTTCAGTAGCAGTTCCATCGGCACGAACAGGACCTGTTGCAGCAGCAAGCAGCAGGTCCATCGGCTGGAACGGGCTCATGGTGAGGTCCATCGGCATGAAGAGGGTCTGGCTTAGCTGGTACCTCGATGCAGACTGGCTCAGCAGGTCCGACGGCAAGACTCTCGTAGACCTGAGGGGCCAAGTGTCCAGCTTGCCGCATGCACCACTGAGGTTCGCGCAGCGGGAATGCGCCTTCCCACGAGGGCCGCTGCGCCCGAAGTCGATCAAATTCCTGTGTGGTTGACGCGTCGTCAAGAGCATGCAGGTGACTGAAGTGGCAGCCCATGGGGCCCTTGCAGAGAGTGTCGAAGCAGCAGGCCTGCACAGTGCAAATGCGGGGACCATCAGCGAATAGCTTCATGGAGTACATGCCCAGTGCAGGTCCCTTGGCATGAACAGGGTCTGGCCTGGCGCGGTAAGTGCACCCAGCCGGGCTGGTTCAGAAGCAGGTCCGTGAGTATGAACAGTATCTGGCTCTGCAGGTCCATCGACAAGAACAGGTTCAGCCTCAGGTCCATCGGCATGAACAGGGTCTGGCTCTCCAGGTGCATCGTGGTGCACTGGTTCAGCAGCAGGGCCGTCGGCGCGTACGCGGGTGCCTCGAGGGCGAAGACGGTGCCGAGCGGGACCTTAGGCACAGTGGTTGCCCGAGTTCCGATCTTGGAGAAGGCGCTTCATGTAGGTAAGGGTCTGGTGGTCAAACTACGCCATCTTCTTCACCGGTGCGAACCAAATCATGCAGTGAGTCCTGGCGTCGCAACCCGTGAGCGAGTTCCAGATCATGACGTAGCCGTAGTCCCCGGAGAATCTGAATTGCACGTGGGCCAAAATCCGAGGCGACTGGGGCGCAGAGTGTGCCCATGCTCGTGGCATCGCGTAGAGCCAATCACGCCTGTGCCGCGTCGGCAAACGTCGCAGAGGCACGAACAGAGATGCGATGCCGTCGGGCAAACACCCGAAGCGCGGCAAGAAACGCACTACCAATGGGCGTGAATGCAAGAGAGTTAAACAACTCGCAACACCAGTAGACAGCGCCGAGAAGTAGCCTCCAGTCGGCCCTTGAGCCAGAATGGCTACGGAGGAGGGAGAGGACGACGACGACGACGACGAGGAGGAGGAGGAGGAGGGGGAGGAGGAGGAGGAGGAGGAGTGAACGCCCCTTGGGGAGTCCTGGATCCAAGCCGCCCGCCGCCGCCGCCGCTCTAAGACCGTGATTGAAAGAGTTCCCGCACTCGGGCGGGTTGCTTGGCAATGGCTCGGCACCTGGCTTCCCTTTCGATCGAAGTGAGCTGAAAAAAAACAGGATATCATAAGCAATACCTAGACTGAATAGTTCTGGAAGCTGGGATGTGCAAATAGAATGGACGAGCATGCGACCGAGATCGGAGAAACCGAGAGAAAAAAAAAACGGGCAGGTAGGCACGGCCCACAAGCACCTAGGGCGATCAGGGCTACATGACATCGGTAAGAATGTATGAGGTCATCACCTCCAACAGCATAACATCCGAATCGGCAAGGCCCAATATTCCCCCATTATGTCTAAATATCTTAGTCGTACACAAGCAGCACGCAATTGAGCAAGCGCGATAACGAAAGGAACATGCTTGGACATCTCAGCGAAATTCTGGAAAACTCTGTCGGCATGCTGGTCATTCAGCTCAGAGCCGAAGCTCCGCCCAGGGCTAGGAAGGGACGCGTGGATAAATTTCCTTCTTCTAATTTAGTTCAGTGGCCCCGAGCAGGCAACGACCGAACACCGACGGGACACCAACGGGACACCACGGCGGGACACCCAGTGGCATCGCGCGCCCACCGTGGGCGGAGGGGCGGTCCACTGCATCCGAATCGCCCTAGCGACGGCGGGGTCATTCTTCTCGCACGCCCACGAAGCTTCGCCTCGCCCGAAAGCGCGACACGAACACGAAACCGAAACTGATTCCCCGGTGGGGGGCTCTCCGTTCCACTGCGATCTCACCCCCCACCCTCCGACTTTCAACGCTGATGTGCCTGCCTTTTCAGCGATGGGTAGGTTGGCTCCGCTCCCCGGTGTGCGAATCAAAACGTCGCCAGGCCAGCCAGAAGCCTCACACGGGCCGCCCTGCGATAGGCAACAAATCCTTCAGTGAACCTTAACCTGCGAGAAGAAGTGAGCATGTCGCATGCGAATACCCTTCCCGAAACCCCGAGGGCCAACAGCACTGCACACACGCAGCGCGACGAGAGGCGACGAGGGGCGGGGCGCGGAGGGGGCGGAGGAGGAGGCGATGGGGGCCCTCGCTCCTCCTCCTCCCCCTCCTCCTGTTCTCCCTCCTGTCCCCCTTCCTGCCCCTCCCTGTCCCTGCTCCAGATAGGCAGCGAGCCTACTGCCTTGCCGAGGTAGCGAGCGAGGCGAGGGGGAGGCGAGAGGACCGAGGTGTACGCTTGTGCAGCTGCCCCGGCTTCGAGGGGGGCGCCCGCCTCCCCGGCCGCCAGCGCGGCGTCCACGGCCGCGGCCAGCAGCTCGGCGGGCCTCCCGACCCCCCGGGAGCGAGGCCGGCGCGGCGACGCTCCGGCCGGGGCGCGGGCGCGGAGGCGCGCCGGTGGCGCGGGGATGGCCACGGCAAGCTCGCGCGGCGTCGGCGCGCGCAAAAGATTTTTTCACACCTCGTCGATCGTTCCACCTTAAAAACGATCGCGGTCCCGATCGTTCCAGGTTGGATTCCGTCAGGTCCAGTGGCGCTACCGCGTCCACTGGTGCTCCCGCGTCACAGACTGCAGCCTTGGACGCCATCGCCGGCGTCGCCGGCTCGCCGAGGCCGCGTGAACCAGCCGTAACCCCGCCCGCGCGGGGAGCGGGGAGAAGAGGAGCCCTGAGGTCCTGGCGTGGCAGATTTTGCACAAGCGGGGGCGTCCAAGAGGGGGGTTAGGGAGTCATGGGCCGAGGCATGTGCGAGGACGAGGAGGGGACTAGGGGAGGTGATGAAACAAGAGAGGGGGGTCACGAACTCCAGGGAGATATCATGGCCCCCGCCATGGTCTCCACCCTCCCTAGACATGGTCCCCTCTTGGCCGCCCCCGCCGCAACGGGCGTTTTGGCTCGGTTTCGGGTTTCGGGCCGCGGGACGCTCACATATCAATCTGGCTCGAACATGGAGCAGAAAGATGGGACCGTCAGATCTGAGGAAAGGGGAAGCCGGCCGAGTGAAAGGAGGCCGAGGAAAGGCTGATTAAGGGAAGCGGATGCATTCGGCCCGGACGGCTTTACACCGGATTCCTGCGATCTCTGTTATTTCTCTCTGCGACTTTCGAGGGGCGGCGGGAGGAGGAATGAAGGGAGAAGGAAGGACGGATGCAGGAGAGGGAGAAGGGTGGAGAGAGGAATGATAAGCAAAACAAGCAAAGGGAAAGGAAGGGTGGAAAGGATAAAGTGGGATCCGGAGGAATGACGAGGGAGTAGGAATGGATCAGGGCAGACAACGAGGAGAAGTGAGGAGAAGAAACGAGGGGTGATCAATGAGAAAGGACGGAGGAGGAGAGGGATCATGGAGGAGGACGGGGGGGTGGGAAGGGAAGAAGGAACACAGGGGGAGGATGGATCAGGGAGGGGGAAAAATGACACTGGCGCAATGAGAACCAAAGTGAGAGGGCAAGGCGAGAGCAGGCGCAAGCTTGGGCAGCACCCCGCCTGGGAGACTCGGGAAGAGGCACGTCTGGTTCTGGTTGCAGCTCAGCGTCAGCATCCTGTAGTCACCGCGCTGTAAACTGATTTCGGCGGCCAGCCCAGGGGGGAAGTGAGAAGAAGGGGTGGGCCTTCTCAGAAGGCTCGGAAGTCCCCTGGCCTTCTGAACAGTTTTCTAAGCCCTACCCGAAGACACAGGAACTTCTCAGAAGGCCAGAGGGCTTCTGAGAAGCCCCGCTGGCTTCTGAGAAGGCCTTGTACTTCTCACTTCCCACCTTCGCTCGCCGCCGAATCCGAATATCCGCACCCGTCGGGACGCCGCCATCCCCACGGCGCCCCTCTACCCCTCCACTGCAAGCGCCATGCCGAAATCGGCGACCACACGCGTCTTCATCCCGGAACGCCTACAGACCAGGGCTCGCCTTGGGGGTGGGCAGAACCCCCTTTGGCCCAACACCCTGTGGTGGAGCTGATCGGGGACAATATCCAGCGGGTGCGGGCCTGCAGAAGTGCGGCCGCGACTCCTCCGCGAGAACCGAGAAGTAGCATTTCGCCAGCCGACTTGGCACGGTGGGGCTTCTATCGACCTACATAAGATCGCTTCTGAATGTTCTCGATTATGTGGACTTCTGAAGGTCTGGACCACTTCCCTGGGACAAAATGTCATTCCGAGTTCTTTCCTGACGGTCTGGAGGCCTGGTGAGGGCATCCAGAAACAGAACATCCCCGAAGCCCTTGGGAGCAGGTGGCTTAGCAAGTTGGTTCTTCCAACCTCCTTCGTCCCCTTCCCTGCCAACTCTCCCTGGGTCTGGAAGAGGTGCGTCGCCTATCGTTAGAGCGTCAAAGGCGGCCAAAGACGGCCCCAAGAAAACCCCAAATAACCCAAGATGGCTCTCAAATGTCCGTGCCAAGACGGCTCCATGTGGCCACGGAGCCTCCCAACCCCCCCCGCCGAGAGGACCAAATCCTTGTAACCTGAGGGAAATCATGTGTATGTTGTCTTGCCTTTTCGCGTCTTATGGGCTCTTCAGGCTTCAAGGTGACGCCCCAAGGGAGCCCTAGGAGGGGCCCAATACGGCCCCAAGAGCGCCGAAAGATGATGTGTTTCGACCTTGGACGTGGGGGTGGTGGCGTAACTGACGACACCCCTTTTTGAGCCATTGGGCCCCAGATCGCCTCAAGAGGGCCCCAAGACCCTTCAAATAGCCCCAAGAGGGCCCCAAGACTTTCCAAAAAGACCACCAAGAGGGCCCCACGACTTTCCAAAAAGAGCGTCGAGATGGCCCAAAGGAGGGCCCCGAGAGTCCTCAAGAGGACCACAAGAGGGTCCAAATATGGCCTCAATAATCCTCCAAGAGGCTCTCAAACCAAAATGTGTCTGCGTAGGCCGCCTCCTCCTCCTCCTCCTCCTCCTCCTCCTCCTCCTTCTCCTCTCTTCTCCCTTCTCTTCAACCTCCTCGTCCTCATCCTCCTCGTCCTCGTCCTCTTCCTCCTCTGCCTCCTCCTGGTCCTCCTCCTCCTCCTGCTCCTCGCTCGTCTCCCTCCTCTTCCTCCTCCTCGTCCCCCTCCTCCTCCTCCTCCTCCTCCTCCTCCTCCTCCTCGTCCTCCTCCTCCTCCCCTCCTACCCCTCTCGTTCCGCCGCCTCACCCAAGCAACTCTCGGGGGCATCCCTCCTGGATGTACCGGCGGGGATGCGCGAAGCGCCAAGAACTGCCAAGCAGAAATGGCCCGTCATGATGTTTCCGTCGCTGAAGCGTGACTCCTGCATGAACTTCGCAAAGAACTCTCTAATTAGCGATAGAGCGCTTCCCAACGATCCCAACGCGAGCTGTTAGGCAGCCCAGAGCCAGAGCGTGATGCCTGAGTGCCGAGGGCGCGGCGTATGAGTAAATCGACAGGACGTCTCACGCGAGCGCGCGATTCCTTCCTGAGCCACTTGCAAGAAGCAGCTGCATTCCTGCGGCGCCGCCCTCGCCAGCTCGGCAGGCCGGGCCAACGCCGCCATCGCCGGCGGCAGGGGCGGCAGCGGAGGCAGCGGGGGCAGGTCGAGGGCCCTGGGCACCGCTTCGGCAGCGACGGCACCCGGCGCGTCGCTGGCCGAGGGCAACGGCGCCGCCTTCGCCGCTGGGAGCGGCGGCAGCGGCGGCGGTGGGGGTGCGCCAGGAGGCGCCGCCCCCGCCGCAGGCGACGGAGGTGCCGTCCCTGCGGTCGGCAGCGGTGCCGCCCTGGCCGAGGGCAGGGGCGCCGCCGCGGCTGCCACGGGCGCCGCCTCGGCGCCACGGCGGAACGGGCAGGGCGGGCCGAGATCTCCAGCGGCGTGTGCTTTGCTCAATCCGGGCGGTTTTCCTGCATGTCGGCCGAGGGCCTCCAGAAATGACTCTGGGCGGGGCGGGTAACTACGGGGGAGGGGGTCGGGACCTCTGGGGCTCCGCACTGGTGCAATAACCACGTCGTCGGAGGTCTGGTGACGGGGAGGGGAAGGCAGTCTGGGGACGGGGATAGAGAAAGTGAGAAGAGGAAGATGAAGGGCATATAGTTGAACAAGGAGGGGGGAGGAGCAGCAAGATGTCACGTGGCCTGCGCGACAGACTGTGACAGGGAGTCCCCGCCACTGCTGCCGAACGGCCGTGGAGAGCGTGCCACATGGGGGGGCAAAAGTTTCAAGAAGACGGGGGGGCAGACACAAGCACAAGCCGAGATCGACTACATGCCCCCCTGGCTGCACTTTTCAGCCAGCGATGACGGATCCCGGACGAGCGACGGACGACAGACGAAAGGCAGGCGGCGGCGCAGGGGGGGGGGGAGAAGTGAGAGAGGGGGGGGAGGGGAGGGCCCGCGGGGGGCGCCCGCGCCCCGCGTAGTCCCTCTCAGCCCAGGCCGGCGCGCCCGAACGGCGCCGCCAGGCCGCGCCCGCGCGAGCGATGCTCAGCGCGCGGCGCCGGCGCCAGGCGCCGCTAAGCTGGCCCCTGCCTGCACGAGGGAGAGGGGTCCCGAGGGAAGCTGGCCCCTTGGACCGATGGCGGCGAACCTCTGGTGGTCGACCTCCAGGACGGCGGAGCCCGAAATCACCACCACTACAATTGAGATGCGCTGCCCTGTGCCGGCCTCTTGTGAAACACTCCACGGGGAGCACATCCTTCAAGGCACACGCGCGCGAGAACGCATAAGCGTCTGAGGCTGGCGGCGCTCGCAAAAGCGAGAGAGGGAAACACTAACATTTGAGGCCCTCGCCCTCCGAATCGGGCCAAGCTCAGCGCGTTCCTTCGCAACGCCGATCACAGGACCACCATGGAGTCACGAATCGTGTCAGGGGTGTCCCGATATGGGTGGCGGGGACGCATGCGAACACCGCCACTAAGGCTTTCGGTCGAGTTCCGTATGGGGCCATGGCACGTGTGAAGGATGTTTCGGAATGTGTGGCGGGGACACTTGCGAACATCGCCGCTGGCGCCTTCGGTGGAGCTCTCTATGGGGCCACATAGCATGTGAGGGGTGTCCCGAAACGTGTGATGGGCGTGCCACAATGGACGCGGGCGGTGAGCGCATGCGAGCGCTGGCATGTGTGCCTTCGGTGGAGCTCCCATGGGGCCACGAATCGTGTGAGGGGTGTCCCGAAGCGGGTGCGGGGAATCATGCGAGCACCGCCACTGGGGCCTTCGGTGGAGCTCCCTATGGGGTCACGAAGCGTGTGAGGGGGTGGACCAACATGGGAGGGAGGAAGGGGATGGGGGTAATGGGAAGAGAAGCGCGGGGAGGGGCGTCGTCTCTTCAAAACGAAAACCTGACACCCAACACCACATGATGGTTGAGAAACAAATATCCTGGCACAGGCCCCAACTATATGCGGATGCGACTACCGCAAGGCAGGTGGGGATTCGGTGGAACTCCTCATAGGGCCACGAAACGTGTGAGGGGTGTCCCGACATGGGTGGCGGGGACGCGTGCGAACACCGTCACTAAGGCTGTCGTTGGAGCTCTTTTTGCGGCCACGACGCGTGAGCGCGGTGTGCTGGAACGGATGGCGGGGACGCATGCGAACACTGCCATTGGAAGCCTTCGGTGGAGCCCCCTTATAAAGGCCATGAACGTGCGAATGGTGTCCCGACTCGAATGTGGGGACGCATGCGAACACCATTGCCGGAGATTTCGGTGGAGCTCCCTGTAGGGCCACGAAGCGTGCGATGGGGGTCTGGACATGGGTGGCGGGGATTCATGCGAACACCGCCATTCGGAGCCTTCGGTGGAACTCCCTATGGGGGCCACGAAACGTGTGAGGGGTGTGCTGGCGAGGAATGCGGGGGATCATACGAACACCGCCATCGGGGGCTTTCGGTGGCACTCCCTATGGGGGCCACGAAATGTGTGAGGGGTGTGCCAAGATGGGTGGCGGGGGCGCGTGCGAACGCCGCCACTGGGGCAGCCGGTGGAGCTCCCTGTGGGGCCACGCAATGTGGGTGGTCCGAATCGGGTGCGGCGAAGCATGCGAACACCGCCAGTGGGGCCTTCGGTGGAGCTCCCTATGGGGCCACGAAGCGCGCGAGGGGTGTCCCAGAGCGGGTGCGGGGGCGCATGCGAACAGCGCTACTGGGACCTTCGGCGGAGCTGTCACGGAGCGCGTGGGGCGTGTCCCGACTTCGGGGGCGGTGACGCGTGCGAGCGCCGCAAATAAGGCTTTCGGCCCTTCGGTGGGGGCCCACCCCTACGGGGCCACGAAGCGCGTGAGGGGTGCAAACATCGGAGGGGGGAGAGGGGGCAGCAGGAGGCTGGAGGAACGCGGTGCGTTCTTCTCAAAACGACGACCCAACACCTCGGGATGGCTGGGAACAACTGTAGGGGAATCAGCTGCAGACCTCGCGAAATTACCCCAATGCGACCCGACCTAGAAGTTGGAGCCCCTAGGAAAGCAGCATTAGTTGCTATGCTATGCTATGGTATGCCATGCTAAGCTGCGCTATGCTATGCTATGCTATGCTATGCAATGCTATGCTATGCTATGCTATGCTGCGCTATGCTATGCTGTGCGGTGCTGTGCTGCGCTATGCTATGTTATGATTTGCTGCTATGCTATGCTATGCTCTGCTCTGCTATGCTATGCTGCGCTGTGCTATGCTGTGCTGTGTTGCGCTATGCTATGGTATGCTATGCTATGCTGGGCTATGCTCTGATATGCTGTGCTGCGCTAAGCTATGCTACGATATGCTATGCTATGCTGTGCTCTGCTATGCTAAAGCCCAGCGAGGCTAATATGAAGGTAAGCTAGGCGATAAGATGAAGCTAAGCTAAGCTAAGATGAAATACGCTGAGCTAAGATGATATAATCAACGCCAAGCTAAGGAGACGTAAGTGGGGGAACCGCGGGGCGGATCCTGGAGGAATCGCCCGGGGCGTGGAACACTGCCCGGCCCTTTATTTAAGCCAACACGGTAAGAACCCTTCTAGGCAGAGCCTAGGTAGAGAAAAAACGTTGGAAGGGGATCGGACTGGCGTAGCCTGCTTTCCCGAATCTGGATATGCTGAAGCCGTCGCAAGACTGCCTCGCTTATCACCACCTGCTGCCAAACTCAATGCGAACCTGCCCACTCGCACATGCTCTTCCGTCTTCTTGTCCCACTGAGCCCCGGCAAACCGCCTCGCGGCTTTTACCAGCCTTTCTCGGAACTCGATGCTCCAGGTTCCTCGCTCGCGGGCGTCCTGCAAATGGTCCGCTGGCATGTCTTTCGCCGGGCAATCGGATATCATCGCGCTGTCGCGTTCGAGGCCGGTCAAAATCTCGCGCGAACTAGCGAGCCCCAGGTTGATACTCTTCTGCAGCTTCTGCGTTGCACTTCCAACCCGGCATCGCTCGTCAACAGATCGCGCCCGTCTCGCGAATCCGCGGCGACCGCGAGTGGCACCCGCCAACCGGAGAATGTTAGCCCAGGTCCTCGCGGACCCTGGCCGCGCGGCATCTCGGTGAGCTGATCTCGGAGCCCCTGCGCCGCATCAGCTCCATCGCCCGCTCGCCCAACCTCCGCGTCGCAAGGACTTCGTGCAGCACGTCCAAGTTTGCGGCTCTTGCCACGCAACATTGAGAAGCGCCCAACCATGCCTCCCAGCGGGATATGGTCGCCCCAGGGAATCAGGAAGCCGCCCCGGGTGCCGATCTCCACCGTCGCCGGGTCCACCGCCAGGTTCGCCCTGTCAGGCGTCGCATTCCCGGGCGAGCCCTCCGTCGCACAGGGCAGCCCGCCAGCGTCGACGACTATTCGCTTCGCCCTGGCCGCGGATTTTTATGCTCGCGCACGACGCTGTCAGCCTTGCTCCGGGCTCCGATTCTCGGTCCGTCCTTGCGCCCCTTGTCGCGCTGCAGCACGCCCCGGACGCGGGCGCACTCTGCTCTCAGCTTCGTCGCGAGCCAGCTGATCTCCCCGAGGATCAACGATCGCTGCTTGAACTCGCTAGTCCTCATAATCGAACCAAGCCCCTGCCGCGTGTCACGCGGCGCGACTGCGGGTCCAATCCTGTCGTGTAACTACTTCATCATGTCTTACGCAATCTCGCCGTCTCGTCTCGCTTGAAAAACCTTCCACAGATAGTCGTCCCCCCCCCCCCCACCCCCGTCGGATCTGGAGCCGAACTTATTTCCGAGCTGGCCCATCAGCTAATTCGGCAATCTTCTCGTTGCCCGTCCAGATGAAACCGTCGACATGACTGCGCGCGCAAACCCGCGGCGACTTGGCTGATCGCTGAGTCGTCTTCGGGTCGTGATGCACGGAGAACGCGGGATCTGATCTTGGTGGCTCCAGCCCCAACTTCTCCGCCTCAGCAGACACCGTCGACGACCGCGGCCGAGGCGCCAGCGGCAACCCCATAACTCTCCGCAGTGATCGAGCCAGGCAACCGCGTCACAATCCAGGCACTCCAGGCCCAGCTCGCGGCGGCTTGATCATCGGGCCGCGCTCGTCAGATCTGCCCGGGTCGCCTCCTTTCGCCGCGTGCCTCGCACTCGCCTTCCGAGGTGCGTCGTTCTCCTCGGTGCGAATCGGGTCGTTCTTGACCGTCGGCGCCTACCTGGGGCCCATGACGTGCCCTTGCTTCCCGTTCCCGCGCAAATCCTTCCCCAGCTTGGCTGGCCCCTCGGGATCGAGATTTTCAGCCGAGCTTCTGGTGGTCCGCTCTCCCCGCTGGTCCAAAGGCGCCTTCTGATGTTCTGCCCGTACTGCTAGATCCATCCGACTCCAGACCTTCTGCTTTCGGGCTCGCCCTTGAACCTGGCGCCGAACCTGCTTT